GTCCAGTTCTGTGCGCCCCACTTCAGGAGGGATGTGGACAACATGGAGAGGGTCCAGAGGAGGGCCACCTGCATGATCCGGGGACAACAGGGCAGACCCTACAATGAGAGACAGCGGGACCTGAACCTGTTCAGCCTTCTCAAGCGAAGGCTGAGGGGGGACCTGGTGACTGTCTATAAACTCACTAGGGGGGACCAGAAGGGTTTGGGAGAGACCTTGTTTCCCCTAGCGCCCCCTGACATAACAAGGAATAATGGCCACAAGTTGTCGGAGAGGAGGTTTAAATTAGACATCCATAAGAACTACTTCACTGTCAGGGTGGCTAGGATCTGGAACCAACTTCCAAGGGAAGTGGTGCTGGCTCCTACCCTGGGGGTCTTTAAGAGGCTTGATTCCTACCTGGCTGGAGTCATTTGAGCCCAGTTTTCTCCTGCCCAGGCAGGGGGTCAGATTTGAAGATCTACAAGGTCCCTTCCGACCCTACTTCTATGATTCTATGAGAATGTAAAGTGTTCCTCGGGTAGGTCAGCAGAGGATTGGTGGAAGTAGTATTCCTGAAGTTGGTATGGAAAGGATTCAATAATATTTCCCAGTTCCAGGGTGAATATGGGTGCAATCAGTTCACATCAGGGCCCAAGACCCAGCTGGTCCAGGGCAATCCATTTTCTGCAGGGAAGCAGGTACCCCTTGCAGCAAGGATGGATCAGTTCCCTGGGCCCAGCAGATCCTAACTGGGCCATCAGGATACCCAGTCCCCTGAGGCCACAGGCAACAGGCCCCACCTACACCAGCCTTTAAAAGCTGGCCCCAGCCATCAATACACTGTGTGGGCAAAGACTGGTGTTTGTTCCTGAACCCCCTATAGTTCACCAACTTGCTTATTGGAATCTCCTGGCACACCCTGACTTTGGCTTCAGCTCCTGGCTTACTATGACCTTGGCTGTAAACTCTGTTCCTGGACTTCCCTGATTACCAGGGATGGATGACTGGCGCCGCCTTAGTCAGGAGGGCCATGTGTCTCCCCCGTGACCAGTCCTGCCGACCAGGGGGGGAAGGGGTCCCCTGCAGCCCGATCTCACTGCCCCGTGTGGGGTCCCCCCCGCAGCCGATTCTGCAATGGCTGATTGCTGCCTCTAACCACTGCAGCCGCTTCCGAGAGTGGCTGTGGCTGCTTCTGGGAGTAGCTGCTGTGATTGGCTGGTGCTTGCAGGGGGGACAGCAGTGCTCCCACCTGCCCATCGCCTAAGCAGTGAGTGCGGCCAGTGAGGGGGTGCACTGGCGTTCTCAGGGGGTGCACGTGCACCTGCTATGCATCGCCACTTTTACCAGCTGACTTCTCTGACGGCCCATACTCTGGTCCCTAACAACTGATGTGAACGCCTTCCAAAGTTCTTTATAGTGGTTGGTGTCATGGAGTTGTCTGCTTCATTGACGTAGTCTTGACAGTTGAGGATTTCTGTAGTTCTGCTTTTGTCCACTGGTTTGAATACTGTTTTGTTGATGGCTCTTAAGGACTATATGGATTTTCTTTCATGAGAAAGAGAGGTTGTGGTGGTCTTAGCTCTTTTTGAGAATTTCACTGTTAACTTTCTTCCTGAAACAGCCAATGTAGTAGTTCAATATGTGGTCCTGTCCACCAAGAGGCATCCGGCCAGATTTTTTTTGTGGTTCATCTTATCTGATGCGGCAGAAAAGTGGTCAAGGATGATTCTTGAAGGGTGAAGTATTCCTTCAGGCAAAGTCTGCAGAAGAATTCTTCAAATTCTCCATGTATTAGTATCTTGTCTGGTTGTTTATCTGGGAAGAAATCCAGGCTTTTGGAGATTACAGATATTTCACAATGAGATAGAGGGTGTTGTGATAAGTTAATGATGTTGGTATTTTGGCTGGTGCCGTCTTAATTCTCTCCTGCCTAATAAACTGCCAATGAGATAGCTTTTATGATAGCTGATTCTGCTTTTTATGTTGGATGGCAGTCATCTAGCTTTTTTGGTAGCAGCTTTGGGTCTGCTGCATAACAACAAAATACATCTCCATACTTTTAAATGCCTTAACTATTTAAAAGCTAAATAGTAAGAGAATGGAAAATTGATGTGGGCCATAAGTGCAGCTTAATCAAGTTTATTAACAAGCCCCAATTTTTAATCTGCAAAAACTATCTGAGTATGGCTTGAAATAGAACCCAGATAAGATGTATATTATTGTCCACCCAAATAATTAAACATCTTTCTATTTTAAATTGTAACATTTCAAGTTGATTCTTTACTAGAAAACTAAGCAACAGCACAGAATAAAGTGAAGTCTTAAAACCTATCATCCAGATAGTGAAAGTAGAAGCTCAGAGTGTGTGTGTGTGATGTAGATCTAGATCAAGTACGGGCTTTGGCTGAGGGGGGCCATCATCAAGATGGTGGTATATACCTATCTAGTCAACAGTGTACACTTGGAACCATTTCAAAAAAAGGTTCACAATGCAAATGATGGAATATCAGACTTCCTTTCTTAGGGTCAGTGAGGGAAGGAGACCACGTGAAGAGGGAACTGTCACTGAAGTCAATCACTTTTTCAGTGTGCTTTGGTTTAGACACTCAAGGAACTTTCTCCCCCACAGTCCATGGTAGAAGAACACTTGAAGAAAAGCACAAACTTAAAAGGGAGCAGAACTGTTTGAAAAGGGGGTTTGTGAGGCTGACTGTGGAATATACTAATTCTACACATCTCTTGAGTGGTTTTTGCCTGGAGCACCTGGCTGTTAATTCTGAAGCAATACTGGGCCTAACAAACCTAGCAAGACCTTTAGACCAATAATTGTAGTTACCTTTCCAGAAGCCAGAATGTGTATAATTAAGTGTTAGGCACATGTTTTCTTTAATTCAGTGTTTTAATTACAAGCTAGTAACCCATTTTATAGTATATAATTACATAGGGCAACCAAAACGGAAGTTGCATTAGTTTCTGAGTATCATCAATTAAAATATAGGGTGTACACATAATTTGAATTGTGTACTGTAGACAAAGGCATTTTATCATGTGTTCCAGCCCTGGTAAACTAATTTCAGGATTACCATAAATATAACTTGTATAAAACCCATGATTTTCATCCCTGAAGTGTACAACTGCTATTTTCCTGTGACTCATAACTTGAAATAGCAGCTATCCTCTCTGGATTGTGTTTAAAGAAAGGAGATTACAAGGGTGACTTGTACTTCTGCATATTGTTTGTATCATAATTACACTTGACTATGAAATCTTTGGGATCAGTTTCATTATTGCATCTGTTAGCTTCCAGATGCAACAACTGCTGTGGAATCCCATTTATCAATGTAGTACTGTATTTATTCAAGTAGAAGACAAGGTTTTAATCCCCATTTAGAATGGGGGGAAAAAGCCCCTTGCCTTGAATTGAATACAAGGTGTGTGTTGAGGGGGGGAAGGGAAAAGGTGGGGAGGGGATAGCTGCTGCAGCTCCAGCCCCAACCTAGGGTTGGGATTGCAGCTGAAACTTGAGCTGGAGCTGCAGCTGCTGCTGGCCCTCCCCCAGGCCCGCTGCCTCTGCATGCCCTGCCACTCCTCCCTCACAGCATCCAGTCTCCCCCTCCTGTTCTCCAACACCACTTCTCCCTCTCTGTCCCCCTCTGCCGTACTCTTTACCTTTGCTCCTTACCAGCAGGGTTAGGGTCATCTTATATTAAAGTAAATGTGGTGGTTTAATGTATGGGAATCCCATTTGTGAGAAGTCTGCCAGGTAGGAATGATATGATAGGAAAAGTGGCTGTGAATTTTCCTCTCTTGAGGCTGCCTGCTCATCAGAGGTTAGACCACCCCGAAAGTGTGTGGTGCTGATAAGGATGAGTACTGGTATAAGCAGAGCCGTCCCTTGGGGGGATGAATCAGGGTGACTGCCCTGGGCCCCGTGCTTTAGGGGCCCCCATGGATGGTGCCATACAGGCCCCATGGACAGTGCCATACAGGCCCCCCACATTGGCATGTGCCGAAGATGCCACCACTCTGCGCGGCTGCTGCACGCTACCATCTTTGTGCTCTGGCCACTCC